TCAGTAAAGGAACAAGCAATCAAGAAATATGCCACAGACTGGCCCTTCATAAATCAGCCATGAAGGCCTTGGAAAAGATATTCAGATGTCGTGATGTGACTATGATTACAAAGATTAGAACAAACGGTCCCTACCATAAAGGATACTGTGAGATCTCTTCACTTCAGGTATTTCAGATGGGTTAACCAGAAACTTCCTCGTTCTATCTTTCTCATAACTGCGAAACTTGAAACCATAACCTTTTGAGGACTCTTAGGATACCTGTCGGTTATTTTGTTTGTTTACCTACTAACTTGTTTAGTTAGGTCTCAAGAGTTAATTCGTACAAATGATTAGGCTCAAATTATTCTATTTCAGGCACATTATACAATGACCTAGCTCTCTGGAAAAGGCAATAAACAGCACAGGGAAAGGAAAAATAAGATGATCAACAGTAGCAATCTCAGCACCTACCTTTACAAAAAAGTCTTTACATCTGATTATCAGAAAACCACAACAGATGGCAATAGCCTCTCTCTCTTCCTTGCCCAAGGATTGCAGTTGATATAACATCTACTATGTATGTTCTCCCAATTGTTATGGTCAGATCCATAATTATAGTGGTGGACCTGAACTCTAGAGCTGCCCCCCCAGCTGCTCCCCCCCAGCTCAAAATAAGTCAGGGGAAGATTAAAATTTCAAAGAATGATAAGCCTTGCCTTGTCCACCATCAGATTCTAGCAAAGTATTGCTTGAAATAACTTGGTGCTGTGTCATGTAGGACTTTAAAAGTTAAAAACAGCACTTTGAACTGGCCCCAGAAGCCTAATGATAATCAACTGGCAGGGTTGTCTCACTAGTGAGTCTCCCTAACAGTACTTTGGACTAGCCAGACAGCCCCATGTAAAGTGTTACAGTAGCCCCTACCATCTTTTTAACTGCACAATGATTAAATTTAATTGTTTATGCTTGAGTTATTTCAAACATGTAAAACTGTTATTGAACTAATCCTTATTTATTTTTTGCTGAGCATAATCAGCACATTTTTGCTACACAATCCAATTGGATATACCTTGTTTTTAATAGTGACTTGTGGTCAATATTAGAAACAATATCCTGCCTCAACTAGATATCACTGGGAAGCCTGCAAACAGGATGAGGTTAGCAGGGCTGTGGAGTCGGTAGATAAATGTTCCGACTCCGACTCCTCAGTTTTTTGTACTTCCGACTCTGACTCCGACTCCAGGTACCCAAAATTTCCTCCGACTCCTCGACTCCGACTCCACAGCCAGGGCTGTGGAGTCGGTAGATAAATGTTCCGACTCCGACTCCTCAGTTTTTTGTACTTCCGACTCCGACTCCAGGTACCCAAAATTTCCTCCGACTCCGACTCCTCGAGTCAGACTCCGACTCCGACTCCACAGCCCTGGAGGTTAGAAGAACCTACTTTACGTTCTTCAAAACCCATACTGAGAGGCCTGCTGCCTCTGAGGCTGAAGATCCAAGCAACTTACATGGCTGGCATAAATAGACTTATTCTCTATGAATTTGTTTAATCCTCCCAGAAGGCTAAACAAGTTCATTGCCATTATAACTTCTTGTACTGTCATAGAGAATTCACTTGAGTGAATTTCTATTAATCCATCCCATCTCAGCTTAACTGCTGAGCCTGGTTACACAATTATGGGTGAAAGAAGATCCCCTATCTGCTTTTTTAAAACTATGCGTAATTTTATACCTTTTTATTATATTCCAATTTGTTTGCCCCTTTTTTTTTTTTTACAAGTGAAAGATCCCCAGTCTGTGCTTCCTTTCCTTAAAAGGATCTTGCTCTAGTTCTTTTACCATTTTGATTGCCAAGTAATGTCGAGAACTGAATACACCATTCTGTAATAAAACTTCAATTGTGTAATCAATTGTATACATACACAGCCTTTGTGAACGCCCTCTTTCTTTTAGGACATGAACATCTTCTCTATTTTTGTGAAATAAAAATTTCAGATAATTTTCCAGAAATTCTTATTTCACAAAGATGGAGATGTTCATGTCCTGAAACAAAGAGGGCCTTCACATTCTCAAACTTTTAATCTTAATTAGATGCAAAACTCCACTCACCTTTAAATGTTATGATCTCTCTTCTGCACTAGCAATTTTTAGTGTCCCACAATGGGCACTGTGGCCTTTACACTGATCTTGTTGAGGGCAAATATTTCAACAGTGATGGGGGTAGGTCAGATATTCTATAAATTGCCAGCAATGTTTTTCAGCCCAACTCAACCTCATAGGCTTGTGGGGCAAATAGGAGGAGGAAAGAGTAAAGGTAGTCCTGGAGATACAACCACAGTTGAGCCCAACATTTCTGTTGCTAAGCAAGACAGGTGTTAGGTGAGTTTTGCCCCATTTCATGACTTTTCTTGGCACAGTTGTTAAGTGAATTACTGAAGTTGTTAAGTTAGTAACATGATTGTTAATTGAATCTGGCTTCTCCCCATTGACTTTGCTTGTCAGGCGGTCACAAAAGGTGATCCCATGACCCCGGGACACTGCAAGTCAAAAATATGAACCAGTTGCCAAGCATCTGAATTTTGATCATGTCACCATAGGGACGCTGCAACAGTTGTTAAGTGCGAGAAAACGGTCCAAAGTCACTTTTTTCAGGGCCGCTGTAACTTCAAACTGCCACTAAAACAGTGTTTCTCAACCTTGACAATTTTAAGGCATGTGGACTTCAACTCCCAGAATTCCACAGCCAGCATTGCTGGCTGTGGAATTCTGGGAGTTGAAGTCCACATGCCTTAAAATTGTCAAGGTTGAGAAACACTGCACTAAAACGAATGACTGTGAGTTGAGGACTACCTGTATGGGTATGTTCCATGAAAAAGCAGGATAAAAATCTGAAAGAAAACGTTTAGAACAACATTCACACACACTCTCCCCCCCCCCCCCCCCCCCCCCCCCCCCCCCCCCCCCCCCCCCCCCCCCCCCGTGGTTCAGCACTAGTCTTCTCTTCCTGGGCAGAAAAGCTACAAGGCGTCTGGCTTTATGTAGCTGGGGACGGAGGGCAGCCGTTCGCTTCCCAGGATCAATTCCCAACTGAGGCACCGGGAGCGAACTAGCACCAGCGGCGCGCCCCGAGCTCCTTGGAAGTCCGACCGAGGCGCGCGCCGACGCTGTTGCACGAGCGCCCGTCCCGCTCAGTACTGGGCAAAAAAAAGACCCGCCCCTGCACCTAAGGAAACCATCTGGCCGCAAGCTTGGCGTGGAAGAAAGGTCGGCCCGGCCACAAGTGAGCGCTGCTGGGGAGCGCCTCCCGTGGCCGCGCCTCCTCCTCCCTTTAGGCGCGCCTGCCTTCCCTGACAGGAAAAGGCGCTGCGCTTTAGAATAAACCTCCAGGGCCTCAGCCCGTCTCTCATTCACGAGCGTGTGAACGAAGGAGCGCTTCGGCGCCTGGCAGCGCCAGCCCTGACAGGGCGACAAGCGCAACTCCTCCCAGCACCTGGCAACTAAGCCCTTCTTCCCTCCTCCCGGCCGCCTCCATTGCCCCAGCCCAGAGCAAGCAGCGTGCGCTTCCATTGGGCACGGCTCGCGTTCCCTTGCCGCGCGGGTCGCGGGCGGCCGGAGCTTTGGCTGGGCTGCTGCTTTTCAAAGCCTGCAAAGCACCGTTTGTGCGCGCTACGCGCAGACCTCAACCCGAGCAGAGCCTTGGTTTTTAAAATAAATCCTTGGATATTTTCGTGCAACCCTTTCTACAAGGTAGAGGAAAGACACCCAGATATTTTCCCAGAGATGGCAGGGTGTGTGTGTGTGAATTCCTCCTCCTGTTCCTTACCGTTCGGCTCGCCCCTCTGTTACTTGCATTTAGTTTGAAAAGCAACCTGCAGCCAGCCCCCGCCTGGGAAGTTTTCCCGTTCTGCTGCTTCTCAGCTTAGCGCGTTCAAGGTGCCTTTGCTAAGTCTCTCTGTGTGTGTTTGCCTGGTAGCCGCTGCTAGGAATCGGGACTGTTGCTTCCCCAGCTCTCCATCGCAGGCAACCCCCACCTTCCTCTCCCAGCCCACATACCCGATTTGCTGGAGATGGAGGGGAGGGAGTGATGAAATAAACAAGAAGTGGTAAATTGATTAAGAACCAGTTTCCTCTTCGAACGGCGGCTCGGGAGAGAAAGAAGCAGAGCGAGAGGCGATCCGAGGCGGCAGCCCAAAGAGCCCGGGCAGAAGGGGTGGGGATCAAAGAGCCTCGCTCTTGGCAGCGGCGAAGCTTTTGCTGCCTTTTGCAACGGCGAAGGCTTGATGCAACGGCGCTAGGGGTGCTGGCTGTTAAGGGGCGCTTCTGCAGTTCGCCGTCAGCATTGCACGCGCGCTCTTATCTTTGACTGCATTTGACTTATAATGCCGGCTTCTCTTTGGAATGCAAAAGCGTGCACAGGATGAAACCAGGTTTGTTACGACTGTTCTTTGTGTGTGCGTGTGGGTATATTTTAAAAAAACACTCCCGGCCTTTCCCCCCCCCCCCGCCTCTCCCCAGATGTCAGAAACGATCATAGCAACAAGACAGCGGTAGTCACCTCATTACAGGGTGTCTCGTGCTCATCTTTTGATAATGTTTTTTTTTTAAAAAGAGAGATGATGAATCTTTTATGCAGCTGGCTTCTGGGAACCATCCAGGAGCATCCCAATTTGCAGTAGATTGTTGCTTAGAAGAAATGCAGGTGTTTTTTTTTTAAAAAAAAAATAACGATGGTAAATAAACATAGGTAGAGGGTGGGGGAAAAGCAGTAAAGAGCCTGTGTGGTGAGGTTTTTTTTTCTTGCTTTTCCCCCCTCAGAATTTTTCCCCTAGTTCTTTGCCTCACACAGAGAGTCTTCAGTCTGAAAAGCAGCTGCCTGGGTTTCTGTATCTTTGAAAAGTAGAACAGGTTGAGTTAGGGGTTAACTCCTCTCCTTCTACTAAGCAGATTCTTCCAATAGCAGTCCTTCCACCTGTTCTGTTCATGTCTTGATTTCTTCCCATGTTTTGCAGGTCACTCTGCCAGAATGCCAGAAGAAAATTCTCCACGGTCGACTCCCCAGAAAATCCCATATCAGGACCTTCCTCACTTGGTCAATGCTGATGGGCAGTATCTTTTCTGCAGGTACTGGAAGCCAGCTGCTACTCCAAGGTGAGCTCTGTTTAACAATGCATTTGTTGTCTGTGTGATAAATACACCATTGATTCAGTTCCAATGCTATTTGTTCAACAGTCCATGGAATGGTAGAAATGTCCTTGCCCCAAACAATCTCTTAGCAAAAGAAACCTTGATCCTTTAGCATTTGCACTAAACTAAAGCAGCAGATTGAAATCTTGCTCTTGAATATATTCCTAAACCCATCCAAGTGTCTGTATATTTCTGCAATAAGAGAAGAACTGGTTATTAATCATTCAGCCTCCTACTCATGAGAATAGGACTTGTTACTTGCATAAGTAAAAGCAACTCAGATGAGTAAGGTTTGACAATTTGGATAATTCTCTCTTTCTGTCTTTCTCTTTTAGTTCAGTGAAATGAAACAGTAAACCTGTGTTTTGGCATTGAAATAGGTATTTTAATTGGGCGGTATTATATTCAAAAGACAAATATGTGAAGCCTAGTTTAGGTCAAAACTTCAAAGCCCTGTTAAAATTGCTATAAATCTGTCTTTGGTAGCTAGGTTTTTCAATTTATGTATCAGTTACAATTTGTCATTTACTGACATTCTTCTACTGTATTTTGGCTTTAGGGCTATGTGGACCTCTAATACACAAAATGTATTTACAGTAATTTAAGAAGTAAATGATTGGCCATTAGGTAATCCTATTTTCATAATCCCATATGAAATAATGTCTTTGTACATGTAATGTATAATTCAGAAAGCCTGGTATGTATTCTGAATGAAGATATTGTTTGGATTTTCTCATTTTTTTCTGTGTTGGGACTTATAATAACTGTTGGTTCTAATTGAGGAGTAGAGTAATGCACATAAACAGGTGACACGATTGTTCAGAATTATCTTTTTTAGTTTTAGATTGCAAAGCAATCTCCAATTTTGGAAAATAATTATCCCAAAGCATCTCTTCTATTTTAGTAGATTTTAAAGCATTCTGGCTTGAGTAGTTAATAAACTTTGTATGATGCACTAAATGATTCATCAGAGGATAAAGACAGAAACACAAGTCAAATCAGGGAGCATTCTAACTTATTTTTCTAACAAGAAGAGTGGCAATGGGAGAAACACGATATAACAGCTTTTGCATGGCCATCTCCAGTTTTCATACTAGTCTTTTTTTGGGGGGAAGGGTGCTCCTTTCATTCCTGTGAATTTATGGACAGGTTGCAAGACACACGAAACTATTGATTTTAACTATGTGGATGTTTTACGAAAGCTTGTGGTATCAGTTACTTAACGGGTATGTGACATTTATGAACAACAGAAGTTAAAGATGAATCAAAATGCTCCTTTCAACAAAATATGTTCTTTTCCAATTACTTGGGGATTGTTTTCTTTACCATAATGTACTGTTTTCCATATCATTTCATGTATGATTCATTTAAAAATCCATTCATCTAATTCAGGGCCCATCTTAAGCCTCTGACCTTTCACCTAGAAACCAAACCTGAAGAATCTTTGTGCATTGTTCCCTTCAGCACCCAAAGTTACCCTCCAAAACAGAACTTCAGAGTCATTTCAAAAGCATTGCTTCAACAGCTCGTGCCTTTTTTCCTGGCTTTGTGTGCTTTAGATGTATGCATTGAGGGGCTTTTTTCTAAGTCCTGCTAAGGTCAGGGGACAAAGGTAACATGATTTGGCACTGCCTTTGAAGCACCTCTTTGGGTCTGGCTTTGACTATATGTTTCATACAGTAGCTTCATCAAGCCCAGTGAGAAAACTTTTGGGCAATGCTTGTAATGAGAGTCCTGGCATCTTCCTAAAGGTTTCAGCCATTGTACAAATACAGTCTTAAAACAAGCTTCTTGTATGAAAATTATCCTGTTCCTATTATAATGCTAATTAACCATTAACTGCCTACAGTGTTCTTCAGTGAGTTGCTGGACTGCATTCCCCATTTTGTGTTTAATTTCTAAGCAAATTAGTGTTGTTCACATGAGTCTTTGATCAAGAAATGAAAGGATGGTAAAGAAGTGGAAGTTAGAACTTGGCATTTCAGGCCTCTGGTAGCTTGTCTGTTAGAGCTTTGCATACCCCAAGTGGTTAATTGATAGCAAGTGTCCTGGTTTTTGAAAACAAAGTAAACATGATCAGTTCTGTTCACTTACAAGTGGCTCTTAACTGTGTGGAACCATTTATTTTTAGCCTCTATTGTATTGTGCTGGCAGGGTTTGAGAGGGAGATTATAGGTTGCTGGAGAATAATTTGTCAACTGCAGCCAACTTTCATGGGACAGTCATGAAATGCATGGAGAAAGAAATTGTCTTCCACTATGTGGTAGATTTTCATGACTCATCTGTAGAAACTCTGAAGATTTGCTATGTTTTAAATGATGAATGGCACGAATTGGAGGTCAGCCTTGAATCACTTTTACAGTGCTATTAATCTTACAGAATTTCAGATACAGAAGAAGAATCAGTTGTAGTTATGTTAGCTACAACACAAGAGATTTGCATTCATGTTTCTCCTCTTGAGTATAGGCCTCTGGAATTCGTAAGAAAAACACTAAGAGCTGCTAGACTTCCTGTAGTGTGAGAACTTTTGAAGCTTTCCTATGCAAAAGTTGTTTCATACAAATACCTCCCTGCATGAAGAGCAACAAAAAAATAAGCCAGCATATGTAAGCTTTATCAGCATGCTTCCTAGGGTTGCCAGGTGTCCACTATTTGAGTGGACAGTCCACTTTTTTCACATTATGTTCACTATTTTTTTTCACAAAATAGTGGACATTTTTTTTATTCAAAAGCTTTATGATGAAATGGTACATAATCTAAAGCTGTACAGTCTACTTTTTTTTACTACTTAACCCCCCCCCCCCGCTTGTTCACTATTTTTTGGAAGCAGACCTGGAAACCCTAATGCTTCCTCTATCATTCACAATGTTACATTTGAAGATATAAGGTTTAAAAATGTGCCAGCCATTTGCCAAAAGAAGTTTTGACTGTGCATGCATCTTTTCTCTGAATTTCATTTTTTTCCCTAAGGAGAAAAGTACCGTAATATATCTAAAATAACCACATAAAATATTTTTGCTTAAATAGTGTAGAACTTTTTCTCTCTCTGGCACATTCAAGTTAGGATTAGACATTTATTTTTTCTAAATACATATGTGTGTGTAACCGAATAACAGAGTTGGAAGGGCCCTTGGAGGTCTTCTAATCCAATCCTCTAATCCAACCCCCTATACCATTTCAGACAAATGGTTGTCCAATCTCTTACAGTGTTGGAGCATTCACAACTTCTGGAGGCAAGTTGTTCCACTGTTGAATTGTTCTGTCAGGAAATTTGTCCTTAATTCTAGGTTACTTTTCTCCTTGATTTGTTTCCATCCATTGCTTCTTGTCCTGCCTTCAGGTGACTCTCTTCTTTTTGGCAACCTCTGAGATATTAGAAAAAGTACTGTTATCATGTCACCCCTAGTCCTTCTTTTCTCCAGTACAATTAATGTTAAAGGCAGGCACTGAAAAGCAGGTGATATTAGAGTGAAATTTAGTTAGATGTACAGACAAGAATAATGACTATTCCCTAAGTTCAGTTTACATTTACCTAAGTGCCCCTATCACTTGTATGTTTTCTGTTCAAGCACCTTTTGCAGACATTCACCTTTTTTCTGTGGCTACAATGAATGGAAGAAAAGATCCTGGTAATTGTCATACCATTCCCACAATCATTCTTAAGGTATAGAACTATATGGTGATTAATAAACTCTCTGTCAGATTTACTTTGGCTGAGCAGATGGGATTAATTTAATAAAATTGATCCTGCATTTGGTAAGTAAGCAAGGGATAAATAAGAGGTGAGGCACAAGTATTTGGATTTCAGATTAAGGAAGGGAATGATGAAAGACTGAAATTTTGAGAAGTGACAAACATTGCTGAACCACTGGCACAGTAGAACCAGGACAAAACTCTAAGCTGAGTTGGGTGAAAGAAAAAAAGGGAAGAGGGGAGGGTGGGTGTTTTTTGTTGTTGTTCTGCAGAATTGTGGTAGGGCCCCTTTTATAAGGTCAATCTTAGAGTGCAATGTTGGCTTACTATGTCCTTTCCTATTTCCTAAGTATAGATAAGCAATCTAAGATTTCCAGTTCTTTTGACTCTCACTTCCCTACCAGGCACAGTCAACATGGCCACCTTAAAATGATTATAGGAGATATAATCCAAAATTTCTGGAATCCTAGGTTGCTTATTATTGTCCTGGTAAGTGCAACATAGAAACATGGAAACCAGTGACACATACGTAAACCAGTTGTGCTTTGGTTAAAGGGACAAGCAAATCACACGTCACCTGTTATACTGTGGAATAGACTAAAATTTGTTCGTGATTTATTTTAGAACACGCATTTTATTCAGTACATGGCAGAATGTGTGGGATTTTTTCCCCTCTACAGTAATTGGATATTGAGGTAAAGCAGTGCAGCTGTGCTTCTCCACCTGCAGAAGCATTTCAACTTATTGAACTTGATTTGTGTGAACTGTGATTAAGTCCTTTTAAAATGCAAATCAATTTGATATGTAACAGGGGTTGGGGTAACTGAGTCATTTCTCATAACAAGAAACAATGTTTGTTTGTTTTAAAGCTGTGATCAGATTTCTGGTACTAAATAAGATAGTAATATATAATTTAAGTTATAGCTGCACAGTACAAGAACAAGTTCAGAACAGTTCATCATTGTTTATAAAATTGCAAAATCATTAATGCAAGGAAACAAAACCTACCTTTTAAATACAATCAGTATGCAGCTGTACATTTTCACAATGGTTAAACCTAGTCTTTCATATAAGACAGGGGTGTCAAACTCGCAACGTCACATGTATCGCAACTTTTTTTCCATTGCCCGCAATGGGGTGGGCGCGGTTTCGGCATGACACATCCGGCCTGCGGGCCGGCAGTTTGACACCCCTGATATAAGATCTTTAAGATTACAATCCTATGCCCATTTACTTGGAAGTAAGCCTCACTGAACTCATTGAAATTTACT